CCCCATGCTCAAAATTTTTAGTAGACATTCCAAGAAAACTGGCATTTACTAATGACAATCTATGCTGATGGTCAAAATTCATGGTTTAGACGTAGCATAATTCCAAAGGAAAATGTCAAGATCATTATACGACACTAAGTCATAAGGCTAAGCAACAAATTCACCACTAGAGGACAAGATATATGATAATTAATTTCTTCATAAAAGAGGGCATAACTGACAGCCTCATCTTTTCTCCAAAACTAAAATCATAAGTTCATTAATTCATTCAATCCACAATAGACAGACAATTAAGGCATAACACTGTGTAAGTTTCTTGGGTCCAGCAAACCTCCCAGGCCCCTCCTCAAAATTCCATAGGTTTAGAAGACTTATTATTTATTAAATCCATAAGTATAGCTACTAGCACAATTGAAAAGGAAAACATCAAGAGCAATAGACAACACCCTAAGTCTAAGGCTAAGCTATGTAGTCACAACAGGGGGACAAGATATAGCATAACTGATTTGTTCAAATAGAGAAGGGATAATTGATAGCCACACCTTTTCTCCAAACCTGAAATGCCATGTTCATTCATAATCCATTCATTCACTCCAACATATAGACAGACAATTAAAACAATAACTTCTGCCTACTTCAGCTAGAACAGTTGAATAGAACAACTGAAATCAAACAAACAAACAATTTGCATTTCAAGGTAGTTAACATGCCTAGTCTCGCAGCATAAATCAAAGGAGTGCTTCCAGTCTGATCTGCAGCATTCACATTGGCACCATTCTCAACAAGATATCGAACAACAGGAAAAGAGTTCCCAATAGTAGCAATATGTAAAGGAGTCTGACCTGTAAAATGCAAGTAGATAACTAAGTGCATCTATGTTTGCTACTACAATCAAGGAACAGTGCAACAAGAAAAGAACTAATACCAATATATGTGCACTTTTATGAATGAAACAGTGAAGTTCTAGCACTAGAAATTCAAACAAATTTCCTATTGATAGGAAAATGCTTCAGCAGCTTGGATTTCAATATCAAAAGAACAGAAACACACAACAATTATTCAGTATTTCATAAGATTGTTATACCATATTTCTTTTCTTTGATATCGATGTCAAGCTTCACTTTCTCAACAAGATATCTGCAGATGCGAAGTGCTCCTCTTTTTCCGCTCGCTGCATAATGCAGAGCATTCCTCCCGTTTTTATCCGTCATCCTCATCAACGTTTCTGCTAAACCTCCTCGACTTCGAATGTCAAGGCCAGACAAAACCACTGCTTCACCATTCCAAAGAATCGAAATTATAGTCCTGTATCAATCTGTCAAGAAATTCAATCAAAGAAAAAGCCAAAGTAGGAGAGATTCTTACACTTGAACGATGCCAGGTCTCCATTCAATGCCTCACTAAGCAAGATTCCCACATTCACACCTACAAATCCATTTCAGAACAGAGAAGGCACTACGTTTAATGATACTCGCCAGTCACCATTAAAGAATCGATTTCACTCGGAAATCTAAATGACGGAAAAGAGAAAGAAAATGAGAGAAAGAAGAAAAGGAGAAAATAAGAGAAAAACCTGGAGCTCGAGATGAAGACGAAGAAGAAGACGCCATTGAAGAACAGAGAGGTTCTGTCAGTGCACTGCAATTAGTTACGCTAAAAGAGACGGAAGGAATCTTCATTCCATAAGGAGAAATGTCGAAATATATATAAAAAGAAGCGCGCCAAGACAAGTACAATGCAACATTCCGTTTTGTTTTCCTCATTTTCCGCTAATTTCGGAGACATATAAGCCTCAGGCGAGCTTGGGAAATCGGAAAAGGAAAAAAGAAAGGGAAAAAAAAAAAGGTAAAAATACCAAAATGCAAAATCTTTAATTTCTGAGTTATAATTTTACATATCATGAAAGAAACTGTAAGTTTTGATATCTTCAACGATAAATCTGACAGCACCAACGCAGCCCAAAACGGCGACGACAGAAAACCAGGCGGCAATTGCGAAGTTGAGAAGCTGCATTAAGAGACGAAGCGCTCTGTTTCGGGGCAGCTTCCCGGCTTTGAGGAATGCCAGTGCAGGGAAGACGAAATCCAGCGGAGTGAACCCGACGGCGCCGCAAATGGACACGAAATCGACGAAAAACGGCATCGCCGCCGTAGCAAGAGTGATGAGTACGATGTAAAGCGAAGTGTAAAAGAGACGGACAAGGCGGTTTCTGACGGTGACGGACAACCGCCTTGATTCGTCATTTTTGTGGGAGAGTAGACTTTCCTCAAAGTAAGCATAAGTCGGCCTGCAGTATATCTTCACAGAGAAAAATTAAAAGTAGAACTCTAGTTTAATATAATTAAAACATAGAGACTGATTTATACCTTAACAAATAACTTAGGGGCTGATAATGGTATGGTTATAACAAATAACTCTAGTTATTTACTTTCACTGATCTTTTATTTATTTATATTTTTTTTAAACAATTGGTGAGATATTTAAAAATATCAATTTATAAATAAATTTTAATTTATTAAATAATAAATTAACATAAATTATTTTATCAATTATCAATCATTTTTAATATTCAAACTAAATAAAACTAGATAAGTTTAAGTTGACAAAATAGTAAATAGTCATAACGGCACCCTAATAATGTTCCAAAAGAATACCTGGTAGCATCCAGAAATCTGAACAACAGCAAAAATATTGGCCATGACAATGGTCCATTGTGGAACAGTTAGGGAAGCCAAGATGTAAGGCTGCACCTCTGCTCCAAATGCCCAATAACCACTGAAAGCCAATTGCCAGTAACTTAAAACAATAATAGTATATGCTGCTGATACACCTTTGTACATATTCTTCACTGCAGGCTCCCTCACAGTATTCTGATGAAAAAAAGAAGAAAAAAATCTTAGCCATTTCTATGTCCCGTTGATGCACGAATTAGCTGGCGTTCAAATCTTCTCATCATTTGTGTTCAATCCTATTACAATTTATGCATCAATGATGTCTCCTAACAATTTATATATCATAACTGTTGCTAAGGACGGTGCAACAGTTTGAGTATGAAACTTCTAAATTAAAACTCTCGTGTTCAAATATAGTCTTGAAGAACTAATACCTGTATCTCAGGAAGCATTGCATCTCCAAAGGAAAAGGCAATTGCACCAAGAGCATTGAATGCTGTGAATCTCTTTGTAGAGGAACTCCCTTGCAGACTATAACTCACTGAATCTCTGTCAATCTTTCTGCCTGGTGGTATATACATGATTAGTTGAAGTTTTAAGGCTGTCAGCTTTCTGTATCTACGAACTTTAAAAATTGGAGGAGGAATCTTTAGTCCTGAGCTTACCATTATATATTGTTACGCCAATTGTTGTGCCTGCAAAACCTATTGTGCTGAAGGTGCACAAGGCATTGACCCATCTTAAGGAGTGAATGTCAGGGAGTTGAGAGAGGAAGAGTTCAAAAGCACCAAAGAAGATAATGAAATGTTGTAAGGTGAGGGAACCATCCTTGTGGTAGTATTTATAGACGGCCTGTAGTGCAGATAATGGAACGATTGACACCATGGACAATTCATATCAAAGATGAATAGAAAGAAGAAAAATCCGGTAAGATTGGCCGACCTTGAGGCTGCTACCAGCGGCAATTTGAATGGCAATGTTGTTTCCCAATGAAGCCACCTGCTGAAAGAATGCAATGGACCAGTAACCCCGGAAACCTTCAAGAATTAGAGAAGTGACTTTGTTAGATGAATATTGAAAATTTTCATCAAAGTCACAAGACCAAGATAAATCGTTCACATCAAAACACCCACCAAAGATGCTCTTTGCAAGAAGGCGGTACGTGACATGCTTCTTCCCATCCCACCTCCACAAAGATGCAATCAATAAGCTAGAATACCATGTCGCCAGTGTCGCACCGACCAAACTACTCACTCCTAGATGTTGTTAAAAAGTTTACAATAACCAATTAAGTTCCATCTCACAAGTAAAGGATTGCATATAACTATTTCAAATTTAGGGAAGAGGGGAATGGACAACCAAAACTCAAGAAAAACTTGAAGGAAAAGTGCACCTTCAACTCGTTGGGGCATGAGGAGTGCAAAAGATTACATAAATCAGCACAATCAATATTAGTCTCACCTCAAGTTCAATTAAACTACAAAATTTGATTACCCTAGCTTGTATGTAAGATAATTCAGAATGAAGAGTTTAAAACAGAAAAGAAATT